GCTGTGGCTACAATGTAGCTTGCCATCACCAGTGTGTGAATGTGTGCGTGAATGGGTGGATGACTGGATATGTAAAGCGCTTTGGGGTCCTTAGGGACTAGAAGAGCGCTATATAAATACAGGCCATTTACCATTGTTGTGAGGAGACCATAAATAGCATTGCATTTTCTGTCGTACAGCTCATTTGCTGTTATGGAGTTCTTGTTATGGATAAAAAGTGTCTTTTTTTGTTTCAAAATAGCTGATAACTGCAAACATCTGCGAACAAATGTGATTCTATAAAGTGGTTCTATATAGCGTGTAACTGTTAATATAGAGCGTTATTAAATTCATTGCTAATGCAATCATATGGCACATTGACTTCTGAGGAAATTTTAGATAGCACTCATCATCAGAAAGGTTGCCGATCCCTGGTTTATGTTGATGTGCTGTGTTTGGTTTGGTTGCATTATGTTCAGTCATCTCCCCTTTGGTCTTGTCTGCCCAAACCACAGTGGCCCTCATTTCCTTAGTTGTGACTAATAAGTGCTCACTCAAACAAAATTTAGCCCCGGATACAAATTTGTCTTCAGTCTCAGTTCTGCACGGGAGATGAATGCTGATTATGGCACATGATACAAACACAAAGGGAAAACGTAACATTTGTAGAGATGATGAAATGAACTTAATATACAAGAAAAGCAAAGAAATTGGATTTATAATAGACGCTCATTTAAAAACATAAATGTTAATAATTACTATTTGTTTCACGATATCTGTCTAACATTTTGTTCAGACATATATACATACATATGCTACCCTTATTATAGTAAGATTATTATTATTATTTTATTATAAGATTATTCTGTTTATCTTATGTTAGCAAAAGAAAACATCTGATAAAGGAGATTAAGCACTGTACTAAAGTCTAAAATGATTAAATACACACAACACAAATTTAAAGACTGCAGCTTTTTGTGCGTTTGTGTGTTTTGCTGATTGCCCATAATTGTGACGTGGGTAAAACCCAATGCCAATCAATATAAGCTATAGATATTAAAAAACAGTTATAGTCAGTTAAAAATCTTTGTGATTAAGTTTAGATTATGGTTCAAGCAATGATTTAGTGTTTCAGTGAGAAGAAATGTGCTACAAAAAGTGATGAAAATAAAACTGATGCTTAGAATAAAAAAAGAGTTCTGACCATAGCAACAAGGGAAATGGGTTTTGCTCCTATTTCTGTTCTTTTAAATGTTTATGTAGACTGTTAACTAATTTTTAATAAAACTAAGAAACTCAACGGCTATAAATGAAGGAGAAAGTACAGAGTGTGCCTGTGTCTGGTTAATCTGCCCAACACTGCAGATAAAGTAAAGGTCATAAATCGTTTCATGATTACCCGACAAGCCTATGGGGGCGCACACACATGCACTCCCCCCTGACAAACGCTTCACTAGAAGTAGACACAACGTGCGCTTCAGTACACAGTGGACACCATGAGACTGGTACTTCCTAACCCAGGACTGGATCTCAGAATCCCCAGGCATGAAGATCTGGAGAGGATGGAAAAACAGGAGGCTGCAGACAGACCCAAGTGGGACAACAAAGCTCAGTATATACTAACCTGTGTGGGGTTCTGTATCGGTCTGGGTAATGTTTGGAGATTCCCTTACTTATGTCAGAGTCATGGAGGAGGTAAGCTAAGACAGAAAGGGCAAGATAACATATCTGGTTAATAATCAGACAATTTAGTGATTTACTGA